AGCATAATACGCGGGAGGATCTGTGTACTGCATAGTCTTGTCTTGTGTCTGACTACAACAAAACGGATTTGGATCCTCTCCTGAGCTAATGGAGAGGATCCTCCTGACCAAGTGTTATGGGCCGTTGGATTTTCATCCAATCGTTATAATTATTATAACTTTAAAAGGACCCACCTATTTGTAGCCGTTGGATTAAAATCCAACGGTCCATAACACTTGATCAGGAGGATCCTCTCAGTTAGCTCAGGAGAGGATCCAAATCCCAACAAAACATCCCCCCGCAGTCAGTGACCAGTCTAATCCGACGAACGTGAACGTATTTTAATCTTAATTCATTTTTTTCACTCTTTACGAGTCACCACTTAACTTAATTAGCTCGAAAAGAAATTGTTAGGAATTAATTGCTCATAAAAGGAATATATAAGACGTGGTAGCTCTCTCCAAATTACACGGACTATTTCGTGATAAAACATCATACCTAGATAGGTTCATGGCTTATCATTATATGGATCTAATTAAGTAGTTAAGTTAGATACAATAACTTAAGCAGTTGTATCCGTTAACACGGTTTCCGTAGAAAAATAAAGGAGAAATGATTTTTGTGTATTATTTTTCTCTTTGTACCCACTCTTGCTTCACTTCTTAAATTCACCGTCTATGTACCAAAAAAGCGTAAAAAAAAAGTTCCGTCCTTGATTTAAAAAGTAGGATGAATCTACATAAACATCTCCTCCCGACGTCTCTAATCTCGTACTGATTCTGATATCTCATAAACCTTATGATTTACAAACCAATACTTTTCGTTGATAAGATGCACATGAAGAAAGTTGAGGTTCCATTATTGTTTGGACTCAATTTTACACTATCAGTTTGAGGATTCGATGCCGTTGAATGAGCAGAATTTTAGACCGTTGAATGACAAAGTGGTTGAAATGATTTTTAGTTATTATTAAGAAATAATATTGTGATTTTAATCATGATATTATCTCTTGGTAATATGTTAAATTGTTTGAACCTAATATTTGTCTAAATCCAAATTGATTTGAATGATGCTGGAATATGGGGATATGCACATCATCAGATAATGAAGCATGCAAGACATGAAGATATTATGATTTTTTTTATTATCATAATAATTATCTTTTAATATGAATTATCTTACCATTTTCTTAAACAGGATAAATAGGATGCGAATTATATCCCCAAGCAAGCAGTACAATTCAAATTGATTTGGGATGTCTAGTGTGTGGATGTGTGGATTGGATCAGTTTGGTCTGGTTGACGGATTCAAGTGGTATGCTGCAAAATGATATTAAGTTGATATTGGAATGTTATTTATTTGCAGACGTCACTTGGAAGCTGCTAATGGGGTTGAATTTTGAATTGATTATTATCCATTTAAAATATGGTGATAATTAGTAAAAAAAATGAATTTGAAATTCATTTAGACGGGGATCAAGATGCATGCATGGATGGGTTTAAAGGTGATGGAATTATGATGATGAGATAAGAAGCCTAGGTAGGCTAGGCCTTTGGTCATGATCTGATAATCCTAGATAGGCTTTTATTTTGTTTGAAAAGTCACGAATAGCCATCTAGAAGATAGGCTTTAGCCTATGCCACGGATCATTCTTTCATTCCCCGAGTTTGAGTTTTAGTTGGTCTCTACGAAATTATCAAGCATTGCCAAGCAAAAAATATGAATGTTTTAAATACAAAATACTTTGCGACAGAGAAAGCCCTTCCAAAAATCAACACACAAATTGTCCTTTGCAAAACTTCTCAACAACCTTGAGATTTTTTTCCTCTTCCCCTTTCTTCCTGCAAACACATTTTCAGTTAACACATCTTCAGTTTGGATAAATAGCACTGTGAAGGCAACCGACAACATCTTCAGTTTGGATAGACAACACTGGAGTCGTAGAATTAGCTAACCGATGAGCACCTTCAGTTTGGATAGACAACACTCAGCATTGCTTCAAGGCCGCATGGTTATTTATCCAAGTTTCAGTCGATAAGGATTTTTGAGTCCTTGTTGGTAGAGGTTATCTCATCAGTCTTCTCGGCAAAGTGAGGTGTTACAGGTTACTAGACTCGGCATATTGAACGTCGAGTTTTGCTTTATGATTGGATATTCACAGGTACATTTTAGAGTTCGGCACTTTGACAGCCGAACCACTTTTACCATCAAGACATTTATCTCTTTCGAGTATTTGTGTCCGTACAGTCTGATACCGGTTCGGTGTACTTATACTCTCACAAATATAATTACCAAGCTGAGCCCGATGCCGACGATTTGTGAATTTCGCAGAATTAGCAGCCTTGTCTTCAGGCTCTAGAAACCAAAGGCCGATACGCGTTCCTTCCTCGGCCGCAGTCGTAAGATTGAGAAGTCAGCAGCGTGCTCAACGCCACATCAACACATTTTACTCCCTAGCTGAGCTTGGCTGACGAGTTGGCACGCCCCGCACACAATCGAATGACGTAGTTAGCTTATTAGTTACTCGGCTTAGGCGCCACGTATGCTTGGTAGTTTTTACGGTAAAAAACTATAAAACCAATTGGTAATTTGGAGAGTAACTCAACCTCTTATAAGCACATGCAAGGTACTTCTCTCATCAATGTGGGATTCATTCTCAACACGCCCCCTCACATGCGGCGAATTTTCAATCCTAACACGTGGACATCACAAATGGGGTAACGTGAAGCATGTGTGGTTATTGGACTTCATACTTGGGACAACCTGCTTTGATACTATGAAGAAAATTGAGGTTCCACCATAAAACTAATTGCAATATGGAGAGTAGCCTAACCTCTTATAAGCATATGTAAGGTTCATTCCCTCATCAATGTAAAATTCATTCTCAACAACACAACTACATGAGAGTCAGATTAAAAAATAATTGTCTTGATACCTATTTCCCATGCCATCTTAAGCCATAATATATCTCCCGTAGCTCCGCTTCAAGCACTTGTCCAACACCCAGATTAATAGCAAAACCGGTGATCCAATCTCCCTATCGTTTCTAAGGACTCCATCTGCTGCAATAACCTCATTTTCTGAAGCTGCAACCACTAGTTTTTTTAAGAACTAAATTTTGGTGTTCATTATCTGGAATTTTCTATGGCAATGATGATTACGAGGACGACGACTTTCCATTGTCTTGTCGATTTCTAAATCCCCAACTTGATGAGGACGACAACGACTCACTCGTTCCTCTCGTCGACAATATTATATTTCCACCAAATAAATTAGCCATTTGTGGGAGGATAAGGATTGTCTGCCCTCCCACTTCCGGTGCTCTCCCGTGTCTTTTTGTTTTGTGTAGTCACGGTTAAACCACGTCAACATTTTATATTGTTTTTTTAGAGATAATAAGACAAAAATGAATAGTAATATAAAATGTTGACGTGACTTAATCGTGACCACATAAACAGAAGGGCACGGGAGGGCATCGAAAGTGGGAGGGCAGACAATCCTTGTCCTTTGTGGGAGTCAGCTTGGGCAACTTTCGATTTTAATAATGCATGTCATTTTTTCAACATCATATCGTATGTCAATTTGTAGCCGAAAAAGAAGAAATATTGTATACAATTTTCCATCGTAAGAGAGGACTCAAATGTTGGACGTATTATTTTTAAGAAAAACTAATGAAAAATGTTTGAAAACTTTGAGTTTTAATGATAAGGACAAAATAGAGAGTAAAGTGAATAGTAATAGGATTGACCTTTTAGTGTAAAATGTGGTTTTTCGTTAAAATGAACAGTATCAAGAGTTTTTCGTTAAAATTCTGTTCTTTTAACGTACTAAAAAAGAGTCGAGAAAAATAAATATGTGTGAATTCTTTTATGATGTGAAATCAGACTGAATGTGAACACTCTATAGCTAGATTGATGAATTCGTCATTCTCTCTTTGAAACACGGTATGTTATAGCTGTTGGATTGTAATTTGTATTTGCAGTCAATACGATTTTACAATTTACACTAACCTATGCAAGTATATACGGTTGATATATACATAGTTTTTTTTTTTTGGAAAAAAACGATATTATCTACACTATACGTAGTTAAGTGTAAATGTCTTCATTAATCTGCTTTGCTTAATTCCTAGGGTGCACGAGAGACCACAGTGTGTAGTAAGCAATGTATTAAATATCGGTAATATCGGAAATATCGATAGTCCGAAAACACGGAAATATCGACGGAAATATCGGTAAAATATCGATATCGATAAAAATTACATGGAAACCACGGAAATTGTAAGAAAAACTTGGAAATTTTTATTGAAACTTTGCAGGATGTTTATTTAGTCAATTATCTATTAGTTTATCACAAAAATTGGAAGGAAATGCATTGCATGATGGATTTAACATTATCAAGTTGATTATATAGCGAGCTGGCAAACATTGTGAGTGTAGAAAATATGTAGTAATTAATGAAAGAAGTTTAAACACACCATAATCATTTATATATAATGAATTAGTACAATATTTTACACTTTATACATTGCATGGTAAAATACATAAGTGACTTAGTACCACATAGAGTTCTTATGAGGTTCAAAATTTTAACTATCTTTATCATCTCTATGTGTAGAGTAAGTGTATTTTAGCATATTTTCACAAAAACATAAGTGATATGGTGGTCAATGTGTTGAAGGAGTAAAATGGGAGGGGTTTGAATCCCTTTTTAAATATAGAAATTTATCCTAAAATTTAAAAAAATCTATTTTTTATTATTTTCTGTCCCTTACCTTCTCGAACCCACAAATACACCCTTTTTCCATCTCCCTCCTACAGTCCTACCATTAACTCCTCCTCTAGAACCTTTTAGAAACAACAAAATCGAAATCCTCACCCTCTCCTCTCTCGTCTCTCCCTCTCTCTGAGCTGCTGCTTCCGGTACTGCCTGCTGCAGCAAGACCAGCAGCAGACGAGATCGATCGAGTTGGCTTTCGTCTCCAATCCAAACTTTTCTGTTTTGGTTGGTGGAGATCTCGTTTCTGCTTTCATGTCCAATCCAACTTTTCTGTTTGGTTGGTGGGAAAATCCCTACTCTCTGTTCATCCCCAAACCTTTAAATCCACGCTTTCAAGGTAATACACGCCGGCTCCTTGATTTAATTCCATTTTTTTATTGAATTTTCCATTTCCAATACCTAGAAATCTAATTACACAAAAAATAATAGGAAGTAAAATTTCATATCTCTAGAAATTTTTGTTTTCTAATCCTCCGCGGTTTCTCGGCAACCAAACGGAGCGTTAAATCATTTTAATTAAATAAAATAACGTTTTTTATTTATTTGTTTGTTGAACGGATTTTTGGTATATCAGTTGCTATTAGAGCTCGGATCCGAGAAGCCAAAGGCCAAAAAACCATGTCCTCATTGCCGGCCGAGCAGAACGGCGACTCGGCGCCTACTGGAAGCAGTGGAGGCGGAGGAGATTCGCAAAGATCGCTTCCGACGCTGTTTTTGACCAAAACGTATCAGCTCCATCCGTCGATATCGCGATATTATCCAAAATATCGCGATATTATCGATAATATCGCGATATTTTGACGAAAACCAATCGGATATGTGTAGAAATATCGGACTCCCAAAAAAACGATAATATCGGCGAAATATCGCCGATATTATCGATTTTTTATACCATGGTAGTAAGTGAACGACCACGTACTAAGTGTGAGCTCCTAGTTTTGTCTCTCTGGGTTCAGTGGGTTGCAAGAAAGCCCAACCATATTTCTCTTCATGTATGCATTATTACGTACATATATCGAACCAGATTTCATGTGCGACTTTAACTTCCAGTATTGATGTATGAATTAAGTTACTTATAACAAGCAATACAATAATTGCAACGGATCAACTCATCGTAACAAAGTTACGTCATCATAACAAAATTACAACGTTATAATTGGGTTATTCAAAATTATGTTTCGAACTCGTTATAAATATATATTTTGGATTATTCAAAATTATGTTTCGAACTCGTTATAAATATATATTGTCCTTATCATCTCTATAAGTTGGATTTGAACCTTTCGAACCGAACGAAGACAACTACCTCTAGATCGTATACTACTAGGTAGACCAATTTCAGCCATTAATTTGTTCCCCTTTTGGTTAATTAGATGCGAAAACCGTTAGAAAGGTTCTTTCATTTGGTGGACCACGACAACGAACTAGGTTAATTAAGTGGATATTGGCTTTATTTATATTAAACTATTTGCATTATTAGTCATAACGTGGAAGTCACTGTCCTAATTAATTATATCAAAAAGAGGTTTATTTGCTTGATAACACGGGCATATTTTGACTAATATGCCTCATTTGAAAATAGAAGAAATATATCTAACATACTAATTAATACTATGTGCTATGCAGATGATGAGAAATATATTCTTCACTTGAAATAATATTCATTAATTTCTTGTTGCACAACAAAAAGTTTGGTTCTTTACGTATAACAAGTTATTCATTTTTGCATAAAATATCAAATTTGTGATCAAAATGATTTTTTTTTATATATGTGTCAAATTATATTTGCATGTAAAAAACCAAATAATTTTGTTTATATATATGGAATGAAGATGAATAATCACATATCATCCACCATTACTGACGGTTGTCAAACTTTTAAAATAGCTTCAAATTAATTTAGAAATTATTACCAGGCGAAATCGTTTGCAATAATATAATATACATGAACTTGACTAGTCACAAGGTCCTGGTCAAGCATGAACAAACCGGAAAGGGATCATCTCCGAATCCTTCCTCATAATCTATCAAATTAGAAAATCTGTGCCATTGAAATTTGATCTAACGGTTGAAGTTATTATAATTTTTTAAAATGGACTCCTGTTTGTAGCTATTGAATCTTTCAATAACATAGATTCTCCTGATTTAATGAATTAAGAAGAAGGAATTCGGAGATGATCCATTTCCAAATAAACCATACAAAGATTTAACTAAATGTTTCTAGTAAAATCTACAGTTCAAAAAGATGCTAATCATACATAAGGATTCAACAACTAACACCATCATGCGTCACTGGCGCGGAAATCAAAATCGAATCTATTTGCCACGTCATACAACATATTTTATGTCCCCGTTTACGGCTCGTCTTGCAAACATAATATCACCCTTTCCGGCACGAGATCAGGTTACTGCGGCACAACATCGTGCCACGCGTCAACTCCTCCCTCGAGGTTCCACATGTATTAGAGTAAAGCTTCGCAGGCACAAAAATCTAATCCGCGCTCCCCCATTACATGTGCGTTGATGCTTTTGTTTAGCAACTAAACACGACCTTAAACACTGCTTAAGTTGCACTTTTCAGACTTTTAAGTTCATTGTGAACCCATCTATGTTTAGATCATACCGTTTTTAATTTCATTCGTGATTATAAAAGTCTATGTCGAGATATTGAATCATGTTACTCGTAAAACAATCATCATAAAAACATGAGATTCTTGTAATTTCATCTCATCGACCCAACTATTATTTAACCATAGTGAGACCTGCTCTAAACAAATAACTATACCGAAGTCTATCCACTATTACCCTTGTCTACCCTAATCAAATTTACGGCAAAGACAAAGAAAGGTGTTTTTGAGGCCATGTTCTATCTTTTAAAGATTGCCCACTTTCCTTTGTGAATTATTGGACCTTCTTTCTTTTCTTTTCATGGGTTCATTTGATCTTTTAAGTGGGTAAGGTATGAACGTCCTTATCACCTATGAATTGAGAAAATATTGAAAGCAACAACAAACATTAAGAAATGAAAAACAAATAAAATAAAAACCTTGCTTAAACCTAATGCAGATTTCAAAAGGCAAAACTAGTATCTACATTTTTAAAATTGTCAAAATTCTTGACTTAGGGGATCAAGTAATTCAAGAGCAATGCATAGCTAGTCAAAGTTGAGTAGAGCTCGTACTCAAAATTCTTCATGTCTGATTCACATAACTTTGTGCTTATAATCAGAATCGTTCATATTATGAAATCACTATGTAAAGATCATCTCTGTAAAAAATGAATTGAAACTAAGGTCATTAAGTTGATCAACTGTAGGAAATAGATAAACGTTTTTGCAATGCTTTTACCATTTCTGTCCATCTGTCTTTTTACAATTCAATGTCTAAACGACCTTAGTTTTAATTGATTTTTTGCAGATATAGTATTTATAAAGTCATTTATAATGTGAACAATTGTGATCATAAACACGAAGTTCTATTAATCAGAAACGAAGAATTGTGAATAGGAGATCCTACTAATCATTTGAGTACTCAAGTATTAGCTATACTTACTACATATTTGTATCATCTCTCTAATAGAGGTAGCACCCATCAATATATGTGGGTCTCATCTCTATTAGAGAGATGATACAAATATGTGATAAGAGTAGCATAATTGTTTTCTTAATTCAAATATGCATTCATGGATTCGACAGAGTCCCATGATCATAATCACGAGATCAAGTTTCAAGTTTTAATCATGAGTCGAATTAAAGAGATTCAGATGACATTGGAATAAAATGAAGACAAAATAAAAGGTAAAGTAAATAGTACCATAATTGATTTTTTTAGTGTAAAAATGTGATTTTTCGTTAAAGTGAATAGTATCATTAACTTTTCGTTAAAATTCTTCAAAAAAATGTATAGAAAGTCAAAAACGAAAGACAGAGCAATTGCATCACGGTTAAATCTATTAAGTTTGGTAATTGTCCAAGGAGTGTGATATCCACATACTTTTTTTACTTCTCTTATACATTTTTAGTTTTCGGCCGTCAGATCGGATGAATTGAAGAAGATCAACATACATAAATTAACAAGAAATGTGTAAGAAGTAAAAAGAAGTGTGTGGATATCACAATCCATTGTCCAATCCGCCCTTCCACTTACATCCGAGTTAAACTACTCCCATACAGCATCTGCTGCAGTGACAGAGCAATTGCATCAGCACCAACCAATCCCAAACGACCACGCTTTCACTGCGCATTCATCCCACTCCAGCTTTCACTGCGCATTCATCCCACTCCAACTTTCACTGCGTAAGGACGACGTTTTGCTGTTTCCTACCCTTGTTTTTGTCGTCTTCCCGTTATCTTTTTCCGCCCCCTGCCCGCTTCCCTTTTCAATCCCCCCTCCCTTATGTGTTTGTGAGGCGCATAATTATTCTTGAACACCACTAATAACTGAAAGTCCGATCCAATAGCCGCCGGATTCCTCCCCGGACGATCCCCACCGTACGTTTCAGATCCGTCTTCTCAGACCATGTGCTTCGAGTCCACGCCGACTCCATGCTCCGGCGCTCCTCCACTGGTCGCCCTGCTCCGCCGTCTTCGATCCGATTGGTCTGTTTTCTGCGCGAGCTTCTCGTAGATCGTGCTTTCTAGCTCCTCTCTCTTCCCTCTTGTTCCTGCTCGTTTCTTGACACGTTGCGGCGTTTCTCTGAGATTCTGATTCTGTAAACGTCGGTGCCACGGTGTCCTTTTAGTTCTTTTTTTTGATTGGATTTGGAAATATAACAGCTTAGGGTTCCGATTTTGGAAATCCAGTTTCTATTTCTGGAAATATTTGGAGTTGAGGATTCGGAGCTCCGAAAACCCGATCTTGAGAGAATTCGAATCTTTTTCCACTTTTGACTCTGAAATTTTTTTGTTAGAAATAGCAGTAGAGTTTTTTCAGTGAGTATTTTCATCGCCGACGTTTCTTTTTAGCGATGGAGGATCGAAGCGTGCGGTGTAGGATTTCCGACGTCGTAATGGACTGCGTGATGCCGTATCTCCACGACCCCAAGGACCGTGACGCCGTGTCGTTGGTGTGCAAGCGGTGGTACGAGCTCGACGCGCTCACGCGGAAGCACGTGACCATCGCGCTCTGCTACACCACGACCCCGGATCGGCTGCGGCAGCGGTTTCAGCACCTGGAGTCGCTGAAGCTGAAGGGGAAGCCGAGGGCGGCGATGTTCAATCTGATTCCCGAGGACTGGGGAGGGTTTGTAACGCCGTGGGTGATGGAGATCGCCAACTCGTTCCACCGCTTGAAGTGTCTGCACTTTCGGCGGATGATTGTTAGTGATTCGGACCTGGAGCTCCTGGCTGACTCACGTGGGCGCGTGCTTCAGGTGCTTAAGCTCGACAAGTGCTCAGGGTTTACCACCGGTGGGCTTTTGCACATCGGCTCCTGCAGGTAGTAAAGTTCACAACTTTATTTGAAATTTTTTTACTTGCGGTGAATTTTGTTGTGGGTTCAATCAGAAACGTTGGATGAATTCATTGTTTTGGTAAAAATTGAGGGACAAAGTTATATTCTTCCATGCTGCATAGTTTTATTACTCTTTTAAGGGTTTTTTCGAGTATCAATTAATCGGAATGATGCTATGTTTGGACGAGGTAGCCTGACTGCTGCAGTATGGATTCCATGGCTGATTACAAATTTTAGTTGCAGGGATTGCTTATGGGTCATTCATTCTTTCATTATGTCTAACAATTCAGCATGTTGTTTCATTTGTAATTTGTTCGGCGAAAGCTTTGGTTCGGACGGTTCTTAGCACTTCTGGGATCCCCAAAATTTTGAAGTTGCATAAGAAAGGCTCTGCAGGTGCCCGAATATGTCACTTCTCATTGAAGACTGACCCCAACTTAACTAAAACCTCGGGAGTGATGGTCTTTTGCTCTCGAGGTTTCACATTTGGGGTCCTCGACTCCCCTGTTTATTCCACCCGTAGTACCAAAATATTACTATCATGGTTATGGACAACAACACAACAACACAACAAAGCCTTTTCCCACTAGGTAGGGTCGGCTGCAGGGAT